CCTAGATGAAAAAACAAACAGACTTATTTATAATAACCTTGAAATGCGTGCACAAAAAAGACAGAAAAGCATATTTTAAAAAATTACATCTATTACTTAAAATATTTCTATTCTCGGCTACTATGGACCCAGTAGCAAGAAAGCTCGGACACGTGGCCAATATTTTTTCGACCTAGTATCAACAAAAAATGTTTAATTACCAACCACACTGAAGACAATTATTTAATTTTACAAATTCTGAAAAAAAGACTAAAAATTCACATTAACATTTAATGTGAAAAAATCCTTTCAATAATCAACCCTTTAATCGGAATAGAATTTAGCTGAAAGGTCATACAGGGGATTCATTCATACCAGTTATATACGAGTATAAACATTGTGTTAAATAAATAATGTGATGACAATGCTAGGATGCAGGTGTTGCTCCTAGAATTGTCATCAGCACTCTCTCCCACTCTAGAAATTTCATAAGGATTTTCATTTTAATAAACGTTAGTCTTAAGCCAGATTTCCCGAAAGCATATCGACGAGATTTGATTTAGATTCATAAAGTTCTGAATGTATATCAGTAACTTATTTGTAATTTCTTTGAATAAAAGTTTTTAAAAACACGTTCGTCCAAAGAAATTATTTAACTTACCGAAACTAGAGATGTACACCTAAAGTTGAACGAAATCGGGAATAAGTTCATAATAATAAAGATATGAGTAAATATATTTTTACTGAATAGATACAAAAATTAACTATGTTAAATAAAAAATGGCATAATTTTGGTTAGTGGATAAAATGGTCATAATGATGAAGGAAAATAAACTACATTTAAAAATATCATAATCAATTTGCTGAGTTAAACAACTTTCAGTCTACTCAGTAAAGAAAAATTTCACAACTTGAATAGTAATACAAAATTGGTAATTTATTAATATTTTTCATACTGAATTTCTGCTTTTTTTTCTTCAAATGTAGTTTTTCTTATCTGAAAGGTTCAAATTTTGTCAAACATTCTCGATTTTGAAAGAACAAAAAACCACTTAAACACAATTTTGTCACGAAGTCCAACTGATCATAAAGATCACCAATTAATTATAACAGACTATATTTAACTCCGTAACATAATAAACCCTATGGAGAAATGTCACAATCAATTTACTGAATAACTTACAGCCAACAAAACTAAATAGAAATCAAAACGATAAAAATTAATCAATTTGGCTAATAATACGAAATTTAGAATTTGAATTTTTTCAAATTTAGTTTTCATTATCTTAAAAGCTCTAGTTTAGACAGGTTTATTCAATTGTGGTAGGTCAAAAATGAACCACGTTAAACCTAATTTTGTCACCAAAGTCCGTTTGATCATAACGATCACTCATTAATTATAACAGACTGTATTTATCTCCAAAATATAATAAAAACTTTTGAAAAATACCATACTCAATTTACTTAATTGTTAACCAACTTGCTGTCTACCCAAGAGATCCGAATTGAAATAAATCAAGAAAAATCACTCAATTTACCAAATAATATGAACTTTAGATTTTTTTAAAATGTAATTTTACGTATCTTAAAAGGTCAAGTTTTGTCAGATTTTCTCAATCGTGGAAGAACCAAAATAAAAAACATTAATCGATTTTTTGCAAATAGGTTCTGTTATCGTTTAAATAATCATAACAGGCTATTCTTAACTCCATTACATAGAATTGCAAATTTACATACTCAATTTGCTGAATTAAATAACTTACAGTCTACTCCAGAGATCAGAATAAAAATAAAAACGATTGGCCTAATAATATGAAATTAAGAGTATAAATTATTCAACGACATTTTTTTTTCAAATGGAGTTTTTGTTATCTTAAGGGTTCATGTTTTGTCTGGATTTCTCGATTGTGGAAAAACAACGTAATTTTGTCACTAAGATTTAATTAATCATAACGATCACCAAATTATCAAAAAACATTAATTTAACTTCATAACATAATAAACCTTTTTTGAAAAATCCATACTCAATTTACTGAGTTAACCGACTTGCAGCCTACCCAAGAGATCAGAATAGAAATAAAAACAAGATTAATTACACAGTTTGACCAACAATACGAAAATTAGAATATATTCAAGTTTTGCGAGGTTTTCTCGATTGTAGAAGAACCAAAAATGAACCACGCTAAACGTCATTTTGTCACGCAGGTTCATTTGATCATAACGATCATTTAAATAGTCACAAAAGACGAAATTTAACTCCACAATATAAAATAAAAAAAAACTTGAAAAATGCCAAATTCAATTTACTTAGTTCAACAACTTACAGCCTACTCAAGAGACCGGAATAGAAATCAAAACAAGAAAAATTACACAATTTACCTAACAAAAGTTAGAATATATTCAACGAGTTTTGCATACATAATTTGTATTTTTTTCAAATGTGGTTTTTCCTAAGGTTCACGTTCTGTCAGGCTTTCTCAATTGTGGAAAAACAAAAAAGATGTTAAATGTAATTTTGTAACGAAGATCCAATTGATCATATGATCATTTAAATATTCATAAAAGACTAAATTAAACTCCGTAACATTAAAAAAAAAACTTGAAAAATGACAGACTCAATTTACTAAGTTTAACAACTTACAGCCAAGATACCTAAATAGAAATCAAAGCAAGAAAAATTACACAATTTGGCTAATAATGCGCAATTTAGAATTCGAATTTTTTCAAATTTAGTTTTTCTTGCCTCAAGATTCAAGTAATAACATGTTTTCTCGATTGTGGAAGAACAAAAAAAATATAAATGTAATTTTGTAACGAAGATCCAACTGATCATAACGTTCATTATCATCAAATGATGATCAAATCAATCATAAAGCCATACTCAATTTGCTGAGTTAAACAACTTACAGCCTACCCAAAAGATCGGAATAGAAATCGATCCAAGAAAAATTACACTGTTTGGCTAATAATATGAAATGTAGAATTTGATTGTTTTCACATTTAGTTTGCTTGTCTCAAGGTTCGGTCAGATTTTCTGGACAGTGGAAAAACAAAAATAAATCAGAATAGATATAAAAACAATAATTACACAATTTGACTAACAATACGAAAATTGGAATATATTCAAGTTCTGTCCGGTTTTCACGATTGTGGAAGAACAAAAAAAAATGTTACAATGTAATTTTGTAACGAAGACCCAACTGATCATAATGATCATTTTATTCAATTTGCTGAGTTAAACAATTTACAGCCTACCAGAGTTCGGAATAGAAATCGAACTAAGAAAAATTACACAGTTTAGCTAATAATACGAAATTTAGAATTTGAGTTTTTCAAATTTAGTTTTTCTTGTCTCAAGGTTCATGTACGGTTTTCTGGATTGTGGAAAAACAAAAGAAATCAGAATAGAAATAAAAACAATAATTACAGAATTCAGCTAACAATATGAAAATTGGAATATATTCAAGTTCTGTTCGGTTTTCACGATTGTGGAAGAACAAAAAAAACATGTTACAATATAATTTTGAAACGAAGACCCAACTATCATAATGATCATTTTATTCAATTTGCTGAGTTAAACAACTTACCGCCTACCAAAGAGTTCGGAATAGAAATCGAACCAAGAAAAATTACTGTTTGGCTAATAATACGAAATTTAGAATTTGAGTTTTTTCAAATTTAGTTTTTCTTGTCTCAAGGTTCATGTACGGTTTTCTGGATTGTGGAAAAACAAAAATAAATCAGAATAGAAATAAAAACAATAATTACACAATTTGGCTAACAATACGAAAATTGGAATATATTCAAGTTCTGTCCGGTTTTCACGATTGTAGAAGAACAAAAAAAAACATGTTACAATATAATTTTGTAACGAAGACCCACTCAACTGACCATAATGATCATTTTATTCAATTTGCTGAGTTAAACAATTTACAGCCTACCAGAGTTCGGAATAGAAATCGAACTAAGAAAAATTACACAGTTTAGCTAATAATACGAAATTTAGAATTTGAGTTTTTTCAAATTTAGTTTTTCTTGTCTCAAGGTTCATGTACGGTTTTCTGGATTGTGGAAAAACAAAAGAAATCAGAATAGAAATAAAAACAATAATTACAGAATTTGGCTAACAATACGAAAATTGGGATATATTGAAGTTCAGCCCGATTTTTTCGATTGTGGAAAAACAAAAAACCATGTTACAATGTAATTTTGAAACGAAGACCCAACTATCATAATGATCAGTTTAAACAACCATAATTCCCTATTCAATCTGCTGAGTTAACCAAATTGCAGCCTACCCAGGAGATGAGAATAGATATCAAAAGAATAGAGAAAATTCACACAAATTTGGTAATTCCAATAATGAATTTGTGACAAGGATTTTTTTTATTGTCATTATTAAAACATTTTTTTTTTTAATTTTTGAAGTTTAATTTGTACTAGCAGTTTTGTGAAATGTGAACAATCTAGTTTGGCCAATTTAATAACCCGGTTGTAAAATTTCGTGTTATACGTTGTACAACGAAAATTAACATCGTCGTACCGGCCGAAATTACTGCGCCAATCAGAATATCTCTAAGAAATGATAAAAAAAAAATAAGAGGCGATAACGACGTTCAACGTCCCTTAACGCAAATAGCCCACGTTTTTATTCTCCTTCTTAAATTAACTCTCCTTTAGAAATGAAGTGGTTTTTTCCTAGTTATCAGATTAATTGGGTTATGGGAAAATTTAATTTTTTTTTTAAAGAATTAACAAATCGAATGAGGAAATTTTTTGCAATCATGAGGCATGAGGCATCGATTTCTGTTTGTGTCACTAGTGTGCTTTTAAGTTTGAAGATGGGTGAAAAGGTGAAAAGCTAGATTCTTCTAGGAAAAAAATAGGGCCCGAGAGAGAAAACGGCTATGAATATTACCTACCGGTGTTACATCACACAAGGAGCCAAGGTTAATACAGAATTAACTCAAATCGGGCTGGGAAAAAGGGGCTCGGTTTTACATCATCGTTTGTCTACTTACTCGGATCGTTGTCCACGTTTGTCTCCAAAGCGACTTCATTTGCCATGCTAAATGTCGACGGTCGGCCGTGAATTCTGTGAAGAGAGACGACAAAACGATAGCGGAGCCAAACCCAGACTGCACATGTGCTCAGCGGTTCGCCGCCACGGCCTTATCTCTAAGCTGACGATCCCGCTCATTGGCGCACGCCATTACGCTCCACGCCCTCCCGCCTTTTTATTTCGCATTCAAGAGATCGAAAAATTTTTCGAACGGTTTTTTAATTGAAAATATATATCTTATTCTTTTGTTTTATACAATAAACAACATTTGCACAAGCTTTTATGCTATTCAGTTAAAACCAATGTACACAACTGGAAGAGTAACCTAATTTTTAGTTGTACTGAGAAAAAATCTACTATAAATACAATTTTAGAGATTTTAAAACCTTGCTATGACCATTATTCCCTCATTTACGCAGTCCCTACATTTTTGTTATAGGTTTTTCTCAGTTTTATCTTAATTTTATGCAATAAACGTCATTTCCGCTTTTCTATTGAAACCAATATAAACAATTGGTAGAATAGCTTAACTTTTACTTGAATTGAGACAAAATCAATTATAAATAAAATTTGAGGGATTTTATAAACCTGATTTTGACCATTATTCTCCCATTTACATACGCCCCAATGTTTTGTATTTTACTTTTTTTTTAATTTTATACAATAAACGACATTTCCGTTTTCTATTAAAATGAATACAACCATTGGTAGTATAGCCTAATTTTTAAATGAACTGAGAAAAAATCAACTATAAATATAATTTGAGGGATTTTATAAACCCTGTTTTGGCCATTATTCCCTCGTTTAGACAAGCCCCTGCATTTTTAGATTAGGTTTGTCTCAATTATTTCTTAATTTTATACAATAACCGACATTTCCGCTTTTCTATTAATATCAATATAAAAAGTTGGTATATTAGCCTAATTTTTAGTTAAATTGAGAAAAAATCAACTGTAAATACAATTTCAAGGAATTTATCAACCTTGCTTTGACCATTATTCCCTCATTTACGCAGTCCCTACATTTTTGTGTTAGGTTTTTCTCAGTTATATCTTAATTTTATACAATAAACGACATTTCCGCTTTTCTGTTAAAACGGACATAAACAATTGGTAGAATAGCCTAATTTTTAGTTGAAATGAGAAAAAAATCAACTATAAATACAATTTCGGGGATTTTATAAACCTGTTTTTGACCATTATTCGCTCATTTGCACAAGCCCCAATGTTTTAAGTTTAGGTTGTTGTTTTTTATATTTTATTCAATAAGCAACATTTCCACAAGCTTTTCTGACTCTCTGTTAACACCAGTGTTCACAATTGGTAGAATAACCTAATTTTTAGGTGAACTGAAAAAAATCAACTTTAAATACTATTTTACGGATTTTATATCGTGCCGAATTTTATTGAGATTATCCTCAGGGCCTGGGATTTATAAACATTGTTTAAATTATACAAATACAAGATGGGAAAAAGAATTTATACAATGATGTACACGATATAGAAATTTTAGGAATTCAAAGTGTGTTTTCTGTGTAGATGTGTCACGGTTGTGTATCGTGTTGAGAGTGTTAGTAAGATGTTAATGTTTTTTGTTTATACATGTTTGATTTTGAAGGAGTGGGGAAAAAAGTAGGGATAAAAATTCGTTTTTCTGTGAGGAATCGGCTTCTTTGAAATGAAAGTAACCGACAGTGGAAAAACGAGTAATGGTTTGTTGTTCGGGCTTAGTTAGCCTTTCAGGACGGCGGGATTGAGAGGTAAAATGATGGGGATTTAGCCTATGTAGAATTGTTTGATTGAGGAGTGTAATGATTTTTTTAAATGCTGTATTATAAGTTTTGTATGTTATTGATATCGAATTTGATTTATATTATCGTAGCTGCGGCTGAGTTTACATGTGTCTGTTCTGTAATTGATGCTGTGTTTATCTTTGATGATGTAAACCCGTTTATAAAAAGTTACGTTTATGTTTGTTTGTTGTGTGTTTAATATTTTTGGATTGTTGAAATTGTGTTGCTGTTCAAAATGGTGGGTAGCCAGTGCTGTAGGATTTTGTTTGGGTTTGTTGCAATCATAGATATGATGTTTTACCCTCTTATCCAGATAATGGGATGTAATACCGATGTAAGGTGCCGGACAATTTATAAATACAATTTGAGGAATTTTTGTAAACGTTGTTTTGACCATTATTCGCTCATTTACTCAATCCCCAGTGTTTTTGGTTTACTTTTTTCACGATATTCTTAATTTTATACAACAAACGATATTTCCGCTTTTCTATTAAAACCAATATTTTAACCATTATTCCCACATCTACACAAGCTCCACTGTTTTATGTTTAGGTTTTTTATTTTATTTTTTTATTTTATACAATAAACGACATTTCCGCTTTTCTATTAAAACCAATACAACCAGTTGGTAGAATAGCCTAATTTGTACTTGAACTGAGAATAAATCAACTATAAATACAATTTGAGGAATTTTATACACCTGGTTTTGACCATTATTTGTTCGTTTAGACAAGCCCCATCATTTTTTGTTTAGTTTTTCTCAATTTTTGTTTAATTTTATACAATAAACAACATTTCCGCAAGCTTTATTCTTCTTTCAATAAACTAATAGAAACAATTGAATTGTCAACGTTATTGATGTAGGGCGGTTTTATTTATTTTTTTAAATTTTATGCAACAGGTATTTTTAAAAGTAGTTAAGATTTTTTTCAAATAACAAATTTAGATAAAATGTGTTGTATCAAATATAAATAAATAAAACTACCCCTACATCTATAAAAAGAGGAGCTACAACAACCATATTTTTAATTTGACTGAATAAAAATCAAACAATTTTTATCCAATTTTTTTACAGAATAAAAACACACTTTAAATGTAATTTGATGGTTTTTTAAACACAAAATATTTATTTTTACTTTTAAAGTAGATTTTTTAAATAATATATTATTTATTTTTATTATTATTTTTTAGTATATTATTACAGGCTCATGTCGCACATTGTGGCACGACCCTGATTCAATGGTTCCCGCCATTTTATTTAATTTTCAAGAAAAAAAAAATTAATTCCAACATCTTTGTTGAAGTTTTTCCAAATTTTATCCTTCTCTGTTGGGACAGAAGTCTTATCATACCTCACGAAGAAATCTCGCAATAATTAGTCAGTCGTTTACTAAAGGGAAGACCAAAGAATACCTCGAAATGCATTTGAAATGTTAAAAAATAATAATAATAATAAGCATTTATATTTGTTGTAAAAGCTATCCAATATCACCCTATCTACGTCCAGCATCCAACAATAATAACACCAAACCCAAAATATAGGTTTATTCCTGGGTGTTTTAATCTTGACTTAGAAATATAACAAACTGATGATACCCTATTCTTTCAATATTTTTATTAGGCTTGATGAAAAATTAAAACAATTTTTATTTTTTACTATTAAGTGCAATATTTTTGTTAATTGATTGTTTGCTTATAATAAAAGTAGAATCTTGATTAATCTTACGTGCACTTTGTGTCAATGCAAATTTGTATAAATAAAGGTGAAATGATTAAAATATGTTAATGTTTATGAGGATTAGACGAACCTTGAACAAAATGACCTACAGTCCTTTCAAATAATAATTATTATGATTGGAATTTCTCCTGGTTACGTTGTCCATGTTTTGAATGACAATTGTTCTAAATATAGATTTAGATGGTAATCTCTATGACGTTATCACCAATGAGCTACTTGAGGTTTGAAGCCAGGTTAGCCTGTCTGCTGAGTCTCGACCTTCGTCCAGGTCTGACCGCAACCAGCAGGAAGTCGGGATGAGCTCCGTTGTTTCTCGGGTGGCCTCGCGGTCCTGGAAGATATCCCAGGCCTTCTTCCGTCCCCCTCTGAGGACGGCGACTACGACCAGCGCGGGCGAAGTGCTCCCGATGCCGCACGTCACCAGGTTCGGCCTCATCGGGATTTTCTGCACGGTCGTCCCCGGCCTCCTCATAGGAGCAACCATAAGCAAAAAGATGGCCAATTTCTTGGAAGAGAACGAACTCTTCGTACCCTCGGATGATGACGACGACGACGACTAGCATCGCACACTGTAGATCCTTCTGCAGATTTTCAGCTTCACCTTAGCAGGGTTGTTTTATTTGCATCGCTCTCTAGACACGTGCAATAATTATTTTAATTTTTAATTTAAACAAACAAAAAACCTGAGAAACCAGCATATTTTCAGTATTCTGCAGCATTGTAATATAATTTTTATTTTTTCGATAAGTAGTTTTGAAATAACAAAATTTTACATTGAACAAAACGGTTCAATATTTTTATGTCTTTTAAAGAACAACCACATTACATTTGCCTAAACGATTGTTCTAGTCATTAAAACACAATTATGTGCTAACTTTAATTTTATTGTTATCTAATTAATAATTTGTATCTATTTTACTGTAAATATACAATTTTATTTATAGACGCATACAATTTAATTTTCAATCAGGTTCTTAAAATCAATTAAATACAGTTCCCACTGTCACATGTTTCGTCGTCCAACGTAAAAATGGTTTGAGTATTGCCTGCTATCTGAATAATCTGGGGTACAAACTGCTGTATCGTCAAGTATGCGTATTATCGGATATGCAAACTACAAACGGAAAAACATCGATAGTCAAGTTTTTCCCTATTTTTTTGAATTCTGAGGGCACTTTAGCTTTGATCTATTGCGATCTGTGTGGATTTCTTGGAAGATTTTCTTTGAAGACGTACAGAATTCTCGGGTATCTAGGTCCATCCTGCATATTTTCCTTGGTACCAGTCTTTTCCTACCTATTGTGAGGCAATTGCAGAATAGATGACATTAGCAATTAATAATTAAATAAATTATATTTAAAAAATGGACGAATAGCAGAATTGAGAAAAAAAATGTGTGAAGCCTCCGAGATGTACCTGCTGCTTGTGGACATCCAAATTAACCTATTCTTGCTGTATTGTTCCGATTTCGTTCATTTTGGCATTTATTAAACTCTCAAATAATTTATTCATGAAAATGAATTTTTATTACTTAAAAATGGTTTGAGTATTGCATGCCAACCGAATAATCTGGGGTACAAACTGCTGTATCGTCATTATTTATTACACATAAATTTCAAGTTTAATAAAGTTTTAGGCCCAATGATGTTTTCTAGACTGATTTAAATTTAAAAAAGGTATTATTTAAATTGAAATTTTATTAAAGTGTTTTTAAGCTATATCAAATTTTATGAATCATGGTCATATGATTCACCTATAATCTAACTACTGATGGGATTCTAATGTGAAACTGCATTGATAAACTTAATTTTTGTGTTAATAATTTTATGTAATTTAGGCAGCTTTAACCCGTGGTTGTTTGCCTTAACAAAAAAAATCTCACTATCTACAATTGTTTGATCCATACTTGGTCTGCCTATACTTGTTCAAATTTGTTTATTTATCTAGCATTTAATTATCTTTATATATATCTTAAGTGTTGGGTCTCTGAAGAAGACAAAATGCTGAAACATGCCTAACCGACCAACACAGTGACAATAGGCAGACCATGATCGGTGAGGAGCAAATTACAGAATAACCACTTCACAAGAGGAAATTTTACACAAATTTATCCACAATATTAAGCATTGACCATAGCTCCAGTAGTAAATGCCTTAAATGTTGTGTTTTAAAGAAAATGAAAATCTCTGCTCTGATCTGTGTAATCCTATTTCTAAACTAAGCTGATCATATAAATTACAGGGTGATAAAGACAATTTTAATAATTAACAAGTAATAAATACATCAAATTTTATTTACAAAATTCAATATAAAATACAGGGCGGGAAAAACAAAACTGAAAATATCATTATTCAGTCTTTGATTTGTAATGAGCATTTCATATAAAATGTTATAACAATATAGGTATCATGTGCAATATATTATTGAATATTTACATAACTGAATTGGCAAGATAAAAAAAAATTGTGTTTTGACATTTTATAAAACATTCAAGACCATCTGGTATTTGGTCAAAGCCATCTGTTATTCAAAAGCTTGATATGATAACGGCGGTTTATTTTAAAGGAAATATATGTAAAGGGATAAACAAACAAAATCTAAAATTTATCTAATCAGATTTATAAATGTTGCGTTAAAATCCTGAGTAGTTTGTACACTCGAAGAAAGCCCCTTGTTTTTAATACTTTGTCAAGAATAATACTTTTTGTGATAAATGATCGTAATTCGAAATTATTGAGGTGGGGCTTTGTGAGCACCCCAGCCATGGAAGCACTTTGTAAACCTCCTCGACTCTTTTCCTTTCAACGTTAAAAATAGCTTTCTAGGTCTTTCTGGCTGTTTGACTCTTAAATGTTGTATGTAAACCTAAAACAGAAAAAAAATTATAAATTCAAATTACTAAAAATTTAATGAGATGAAATACCTGAGCGGATTTGTATGCAAGCTTGACTTCGACTTCGCTACACTTTGCTCCCAGCCATAGAAAAACCTGTTCACCATTATCAAGTATCATAATGTCATCGTCCGCCAAGTCATCCTTGAAAATTTAATTAAAAATTAAAATTTGAACAATAAAAATTAATAAATCGAGTGACGTACCTGACAGAAATCGGAGCATTTTTCTGAAACTGTGAAATAACCTTTTTCGTTTGAACACCTGAACAACCGTGTGTATTGCATAAATTCAGCTGAAGTTTCATATGGTTTGCGGCCGCCGAGCGCCACCCAAAAAAAGTTGTCAGGCTCTTCCCCTTCATTTACCACTTGCAGTGTTATCCAAGGCTGTATGTCAAAATTTTATACAAATTTCATTAAGAATGAATTTTCATAACTTAAAATAACAGCCCCATAAGAAAGTATTGTTACTCAGGGTTGGGATTTTAGGTGAGTTAGGTACAAGGCACATTTTTTTCCGTGAAGGGGAGAAAATATGCGAGTGCAATTTTTGCAATGTTTCATATTCATTTAATATTGCAATGTTTGTATTTACTCACACTATTGAACATTTCATCAGCAATTTCTCCGATTAATCTTATATCATCAGTGCTCGCATTAGAGCCAATCCAGACGTAAACAATCCCTGACGACTCCTCTGAATCAAATGGTACTTTAAGGATATAACTAAAATCATATGAAATGTCACATTTATTATATTTTATTTATAAAAAGTTTTTTAAAAAAGTGTTAAGCTGACCAAAAGTTTGAATTAAGAGAACTAGCGTCAGGTTTTATCTGAATCAGGCGAGTACAGAGTGCACCTCCGTTTGCTCTTAAATGGTAAAATTCAACCGGAGCAGGTTGGTCTTTGGGTTTGGGGCTGTTCCTCTTGCCCGAATGTATGACAAACTTCCTCTTAAAATGCGCCAAAAACTTCATGTTCTCCTGTTGCTGGTGTGTCCTCACCACTTCCAACTTGTCGCCAAAAAGGGACTTGAACTTTTTCTGAAGGCTGATTATTTTGAATTAACAGAATCTTATGTCATGTGGGCATTTATAGAATATAATACCTGAATGTGAAAGTGAGCCAGCCCATGTTACCCGCTTCTCGGCCTTGCCAAAAATACACAACGTACTGATAATCATCTTCGGGCGGGTGATCCTCGTCGTTATTTTCACCCTCTTCGCACTCAACAGGGACCCAGTATCGGAAAAGCAGAACATAACAGTCCCCAGAATAAAAGTGGCCTGAAATTTAAAAAAAAAAAATTGTTTTTGACTTATTGATCGAATGTCAAGAAAATAGTGTTGTGCAACTTACCAATTTCTTCCTCAGAAAGGCGGACAAATTTCTTTTTTTCTAAAACAAATGCTTCCATCGTCTCCAAATCGTCATTCCACTCATCCATTAATTGTTGTGCCTCTGTCATTGACATTGGCGGCTGTCTTGGGGTAAAGAGGGCAGCAAGGTCAGCCTGGAAGTAACACAAAATTTAATTTTTTTGTTTGTTTTACATTGTTAAACAGTTGCCATACTTTTGTTTCTTGCTGTTTAGCCCATTTGTTTAGATCTGCACCAGTTTTCATAACAGATTCGGCTGTCCTTGTGAAATCTACTGGTATTACTTCATCCCAAGCAGGGAATTTAGCCTTGAAAAGCTGAAGCTCAGTACCTTCTTGAACTCGAGCAACACTCGCCTCGGGGCCTCTTTCGACCATTGAAAACAACTCTTGTGCAAGTTTCACAGCGGCTGCCCTAACAAGTCTTGTTGATTTTTTTCCAAACCTACAAAATGTTGTATTTATTTGATTAAAAAACCTTTAAGAGAAATGTACAAAAAAAAAATTACCAAACAAAAACATCCAAATAGCAATCCAAGATATACACATTTTTGGAGTTCAGTAAATTATGATCTAATTTATTTCGTGGCAATTCAACCTGGGGCAATTCAAGGTACCCCATGCCAAGTTTGACTTGATATAACCTTGGTTCTCTTGGTTTAAAATCCTCACTAACATGTTCCTAAAAATAAAATACCATTAACAAATTTATTACTATTTTATTAATTATCTTAGTAAATTATATTTACATACAGCAATTGGTTCTTTTGGTGGTTCACCACTTTCTTCACCCAACGCTTTCCAAAATTCAGGCGATTCTTCTCCATAAAGTTCATTCAACAACTCAGCTTTATTCTTCCGTTCGTTTTTGTTGATCTTTTCCGCCAGAAGTCTTAAGCAATCAGATATAAGATTTTATTTTTATAAATTGAGAATTATAATTTACCTAGCTTTCGATTTAAAAGTGTTCTTAGCTTTTTTTCCGTGCCATAAAAATATCTTAAGCCCGGCATCAAGAACAAAGACATATCTGGGATCCAAGCTTTCCGTAACGGCTGGAACTGGTTCAAGGTGAATGCCAGTACCTGAACCATGAACTCTATACATCCTTGTTACATATGTCTAAAAAAATTATCAGTAAGCAAATATTTCATAAACAAAAAATATGATTTATATTTATGAATTTATTCATTTTTCTTGGCCTAAAAATGGTAAAATATGTAAAAAAATCCTTACCAAATCTTCAACTGTGTAGAAACCACTCTGAGTCCTCCCTCCCTCAATATACGTGATACCGTTGGGAAAAAGTGCAAGAAAGTCTTCACTCTCATCACCCTGTTCTTCCCTTATCGTCCTGCACTCTGCCCCGAGGTAATTCCTCAAATTGACAGCATGAATTGCAGAACATGCTCTTTTGTCAAGCTAAAAATAATTACTTTATAAACAATTCAATCTGAAATATTTAAGAAATTATTTAAGAAAAAAGCCTACTGTTGCCTTTTCTCCAATCCAAAAGTATATGCTCCAGGTGAGATTTCCTGAATCGTCTAATGATGTTTTTAAAACGATGTAGCAATCGGCCTGGAAAAATTTCCCATGCACGGCTTCCTCGACCATGTTGGGTAGGAAGTTTTCAATTTCCCAGATTGTCAAACCAGGTATCTGGCCAGCATCCTCATCGAACAGTTCAGAGTAGTCCAATGGTGGCTTTTCTAGAGTCTCATCCCATCGTTTTGGCCTTAAAAGTTTGATAAGAGAATTTACTACTATTTAATTTTTTTAAATTTGGTTAAACTTACTTTAACGATTCGGCCTTTTCTTCTTCAAGAGTTCTTTCTTTATTTTTTGCTATATCTTTCATACCCTAAAGAAATAAACAAAATCATGAAAAATTAAGAAATTTTAAACGTTAATACATACTAAATTCACTGGTTTCGTGGTCCGCTTGACCAATTAATATCATACATTTGAAATTTGAAAAATGTCAAAAAGGAGGGAAAATTCAAAAGGTGTGGTTGAGATGGGAGGTTGGTGTCCGAGTGGATCGAGGTCACGATAGCTCAAGTGGTAGAGTAGCGGCGTAGCCGAAGATCGTGGGTTCGAATCCCGCTCGTGCCATTGACTTTCTTATCTCAACTAAAAACCTTAATTAATTGTAAGATATTAATTGGTCAAGCGGACCACGAAACTAGTGAATTTAATAAGTTTAAAATGAAGGATCCTTCACTAAAGCTCTCCGTGGCCATTTCATTTGTCGCCGAGAATCAAATTGATTACATGACATTTTAAAAATGGCAAAAAGGAGGGAAAATTCAAAAGGTGGGGTTGAGATGGGAAGTTGGTGTCCGAGTGGATCGAAGTTTTTTATCTCAACTAAAAACCTCAATTAATTGTATATTAATATATACAGAATTTTTGCATTTAGTAAAAGTTACCTTTAGAATTTTTGCTTGGTCAGAATCTGCCTCTTCTTGGTCCCTTCTACCTCTCCTCAATCTTAACTTTCTCGCAATAGGATCTTTGCTTGCATCTGAAAAATTTCATTTCGTTAAAAATAATTAAGCTTTGAACAAATGTTTAAAACTTACTATTATTTGCAAGAGGCTGAGGTATTGCAGCTCCTGCTAATCTAAGCTGTGTGCTCAAAGAAAAATCAATGTTATAAAACTCAAGCCCTGATCCTTTCTGTGCCTCACAAGGCTTAGGCGGCATGACAATATCTGGGTTATCTTTAACATCAAGCACTTGAAGGTCGCTCAACAAATGAACCGTGTCTGGCAAAGTTATCAGTCGATTATCAGAAAGGATAAGTTTTTTAAGAGATCCACACCTTAAATAGAAATTCAGTCATTTATAAACATCAAGACAAAACTTTTCTGTTATACCTGCATAATCCTTCTGGGATCATTTCCAGATGGTTGGAAGCAGCAGAAAACACTTCAAGGTTGGACAGCTTACCAATCCCAGAAGGTATGCCCTCAAAGTCCAGCTGGTTGTCATTTAGATAAAGGCGCCTCAACGAAGACAGTTTGCAGATTGATGATGGCAAAGCTGATAACTTATTACTGCAGAGGTTTAATGTTTCCAATGTCTGCCAAACTTCTAACATTAGGGCAAAACAAAACCAATAAGTTTGCACGCAAAATTACATATAATAGCAATTTGTTACATACCAACACCAATAGTTATTTCAGAAATTTCATTGTTGCTCAAATTGAGCCTTTTGATATTTGGCAGGGTGTAAAGGCAGTCTGGTACTTTAGTGAGGCAGTTATAGCTGAGATCGATATCAGTGAGTTTTGTGAGGGTCTCCAGCGTTGGAGGAAGATTACCCAATGTCCTCTGAGTATCTCTCATATGCAAAGTTTGAAGAAATAGCAGCGAGGGTAGTTGCCTAATTGAAAAAAATGTCAAATTTCATTTTATATGTTTGAAAAAAGTTTGGTACATACCTGAGTTGGAAATGTGCAAGGGGGTTGTGGTTAAGAATGAGAGTCTGAAGGTTCCCCAATCTCCTTAGCTGAGGAGGAAGTGTTTCTAAGTTGTTGTTGCTCAGATCAAGAAAAAGAAGATCCGTCAAGTGCATGAACAATGTGTTTGGTATAGATGTTATACTAACAAGAAATTAAATTTAAAAATTATCATAATTTAAATGCACCCCAAAACACATACTTATTATGGCTTAAATTAAGTACAAGGAGTGTTCTTGACTTTTCCAGCCCCTCTGGGACCTCTTTGAGTGAATTGTGGCTCAAATCAAGTGTTGTAAGTTCCTCTGACCTAAAAAGATCGGCTGGGATGCCTGAACTCTTCACTTTATTGCGGCGGATGTTTAACGAACGGAGGCATGGCAGTTCGGTCAGCTCGCCAAAAAGCTTTTCTAGATCATTTCCCACCAAAGAAAGATTTTCCTGTAATGAAAATTTTCCCTTAAAAAGCAACCCTTGTTTATTTATTGATACAATTCCTATTAAAATGTTTGTTGCTTCAATTTCTTGAGAGATAAATACGCCTTTCTTAAGTTTAATAATATAATACAATTACCATGGAAAAACTAGAGATCTACAACCGAGTGACACATTAAAAAATCACGACTTCAACAGTCAAAAATGATTTCTTTTGCCATTAGAATATTGTTCATGATATTAACAGAAAATTAACTCTGGAAATGGCTTGATCTGATAATCTTATACAAATGTACATCTCAATAAACAGTATTGTTTTGATTTAGCTGTGACAGAATTATAGACACACATTTTGTTTACGTTTATTTTAGGTTTATTCCAAAGGTTTATTCAGTATTCACTGTACCGTGCCTTAGTAAAGTGATTACTGTGAGTTCATTTGGAGAAATTCAAAGTTATTTTAAAATGCCCAAAGGAAGAAGATTTTCTGATGAGGAGCGCTGGTTTATTCACTTGCTCAATGAAGATGGAATGAGCTGCCGAGATATCGCCCGACGCATAAAACGAAGTTTTTCATCAGTATCGAAGATAATACGACTAGGTGAAGACTACGGAAGAGGGCATAGCTCTGGAAGACCTCCTTCCTCAGCAGAAATAAATCGCACATCCTGCACGTTGCTTCAAACAGCTTTTTGACTGCAAAAGCCATCACAGAGAAGGCAGGTGTTGATGTTTCTGTTCGAACTGTTCAGAGATTCCTTAAAAAATCTGAAAACATAGTCCGAAGAAAACTGAAATGCAAACCAGCTCTGAAACCCCACCACAAACTAGCCTGTGTCAAATTTGCTGAAAACCACATTTCGAAAAATGAAGATTATTGGCAAAAAGTTATTTTTTCTGACAAAAAAAAAAAAAAATCAATTTGGACGGCCCGGACGGATATGCATACTACTTTCATGATCTAACTAAGAAGAAAAAATGTCACGGCGCCCAAATGGGTGGTGGATCTTCTATGATTTGGGGGTGTATTGGGTGTAATAAAAAAGGGAATCTTTGTTTTCTTAAAAAAAAAGTCAATTTGGAATATTACAAGAAATTACTGGACAAAGAAAAAACTAGTTTCAGCGATTTATGCGAAGGGACTCCAATATTCAGTAGGACAACCCACCCATACACAATGCAAAAATTGTTAAAGAATGGTTTTCACAGAACAGCATTGAAAAACTTGAATGACCTGCACTCTCACCAGATTTTTTTTTTTGGTATTGGCATTATAGCCATCAACCATGTGACCCTCTTGCCGTGTGGCATACAGAACGACCAGCGAACCGCCAGAAAGGGCGAAGCCCCCCACCCCCAGTACGGAACCTCCATGTATGGGGAAAATTATCGAGGATGGTATATCAAGACTGTAAGCAGTACAACTCTGTCGACGAACTTAAAACAGCTGTCGCCACTGCCTGGAATAATTTGCCTCAAGACTTTATTCAAAATTTGTACAAAACCATTCCAGAAAGATTACTGGAAATAATAAAACTGAGTGGTCATGCCACAAAATATTATAACCTTGTTTTTAAATTGATTTTATCCCATGTGTCTATAATTTTGTCGCAGACAAAATCGTTTAATTTTAGTATTTTAATAATTTTTTCCCTTATTTACTGAAAAATTAAAGTTTAATGAAGAAAAATATTTATTTCATGTGTTTTGAATAAATATTTGTAGTACAAACCCATTACATTAAAAAATCATAACAATTAGGGGTGTGTCTATAATTTTGTCACTCGGTTGTGTTACAAATGCTGTAAAAATTTATATAATAAAATTACAACATATTCTATATTTGTAATTTGTTCAGAAGTTGACAAAAAATTTAATTGATTTGACTGTAAAGACAAACATTCATTAGACGTGTAGGTGTTTAGTTAATAAGAGTCATTAAGTGCTACAATTTTGTAATTTTCAATGGTAAACAATCAATTTATTATCGTCTACAGTTTATTTAATAAACACAGTAATTATTTTTGAACTGACTCAACAATATTTATATAAATAGTAAGATATTGACTCGAGACTATTACATTCCAATATTGGATGCACCGTATTCTTGTACAAAAGGCTAGTCTGTTATTTCTAATGATGAAGCCAAGACTTTATTATTGGTTGTACTAGGGTTGTTGAAACTCAGATCTTCACTAGAAAAAATATCAAGAGCTTTGATTATTCTCATTCCACTATTCAGCAGTACGTTGTAGACATAGTAAGCTCTTGAGCAAAAGGTGTGCACTGCTCTAGTGTGTTCCTAGATCTGAAGCAAACTTTCCATCAGGTAGGACACTCAGGCCTGCTCTGGAAACTCAAGAGAGTCCTCCATTTTACTTACTACCTGATCCTAAAATCCTATCTAACTGACAAATACTTTCAAGTCATCAGCCGGCTATCGCATATATGCACGGATACCCCAAGGAATTATCTTAGATCCATCATCTACAGTAATCACCTCAAACATTCCTACTCTTTCTAAAATCATCCTTACCACCTAGGCAAATGATATCAACATCCTTTGCTCTCATAAAAATACTGTCAACTCAAACATAAACCTGCTAATCAATATCAAATCCCTTGAGCAGTAGTTAGTGATGGAAAATAACAATAAACACACAAAAATGTGAACACTTCACCATTCGAAGAATAACCACTGCTATCTCTACTATCCGCCTCTCACTGGCTAATGTAGTCCACTAACTTTGTGTACATTGACATAATGACTACATGGAACTCACAAATCTCACCATTCACAATGATCTTAACACCCAATGTCCTTAAAGTAGACAAAACCAGCTACAAGAAATTCCACAAATAATTATCATGTCAGACAAACCCTCATGTTAGAAACCTTTCATCTCTCACCCTTTCAAGTAATCCTCCCCGATGACTTTAGTTAGTGCCTTGCGACCTCCTAAGTGACAGAGATTAATAAAGCTAATATAAAGGAGTGACTACTAGTGATTATGTAAGCCCTTGATTAACATTGTGGTTAGGGACTGGAAACAGAGACATGAAGTGAAGCAACATTAAGGGAAGATTATCTGAATATTAAGAAAAAAACAGGAACATTTAACACTAAAGTAATAATAAAAATGAAAAGAAAATGAACTCAAGGGGTTCCCGAGAACCATGTTAACAAGTAAGTTAGTCAATTGTCAGTACAGAACTATAGGAGTGAGTCAGTGATGCAATAACAAAACATCATGGTGTTAAAACAACATTGTGACATAAAAATCAAGCAACAAAGTAGTTGCGATGTAAACGGAGATGATGTTTCTCTGGCCTTCTTAATTCCTCTTTTTTTTCTTTATATCTTTATGTTTATTGCATATATTTTGTTTTTGTTTTGCTTTTTAATATGTTATCAAATTTCCTCAAGTTAAGCAACTTTTTTTTTGTAATTATGGATACCAGGAACTGGAATTCCTTCAAAGCACTCCAGCTTTATAGCTTATTGTACTCCTTCCTGGTTTCCTGGTTCCATTTTCCCGTAGAAACTGGCACAGGTGTAAATAAACAAATAAATGAAAAAAAAATATAGGAGATACTTTGTTGAGTAATGTGATTGTACAATATTATACCTTTACAGGCTAAAAATTCTGCCTCTTTTTCTAGAAAAATTTGTACAGCTAAACATTTTAGCATAAAAAATAGTATTTTTGATACCAATGTATCATAAAACTGCTTTAATATTTACTCCATGGTATTTTTATTTATTTATTTTTTTTTTGTGCACCTTTTTGGAGGACCTGGTATTACTGTTTGTAATTACTCATAAATTCACTAGTTTTCGTGGTCTGCTTGACCAATTAATATCTTTCAATTAATTAATCACTCATAAAACAGTTCAATGGTTAATTTATGTTTAATAATATGTTAGCTTTCTTATTGTCATATTCCAAGTCATTATTCTTGTAACTTTGAATACTATCCAACATTTGTACATTATTTTCCTTATGTTTTTTTTAAACATGGAAATTTTTAAGACTAATTTGTCTTTTTTAAATTTTTTGGTTTTTGTTAAAAAAATTTCCATGTGAGTTTTTAACAAGAAAATTCATTACTTGTTTAAACATTTATTTGGACGTTCGGGAATTTTCACCCATCATCAGAATCTACATTTTTAAAAGGCATAAGTATAACTAAAATTAATATTTTAGATTTTATTATCAAGCTTACCTGTTTTGAAAAAAAAAAAATTCATTGGAAACAGTTTCTTTTAAAAGGTATATTACCATTCTGCATCTATAATTTAAGTTTATTTATATAAAATTTTGTATTATTTTAAAGTAATATTTAAAATTTTTAAAATTAATTGTTTCTTCTATAAATTTCCAATCTTGGCCATGCAACTTGTTGGCAAGTAAACTTTTCTTTTTTAAATATTAATTTTCAATAATTCTTTTGTTAAACTTGTTTTCATAAGTTCTTTTGTTAACATCCAAATAAATGTTTCAATAAATATACTCAACTACTAATTATTTTAATTAATTATACTTTTTATCTAAGGTCTTGGTTGAGATGAAAAAGCTAGTGTCGAACCCACGACCTTCGGAATTCCCCTTGTGACACTAGCTTTTTCATCTCAACCAAAACCTTAGATAAAACTTATAATTAATTAAAATAAGTAATGAATTTAGTTTTAAAAAAAACCACAATGAATTTTTATTTAACAAAAACCAAAAAATTTGTTTTTCAAAAACATTGGTGTTGTATGCGGTAGTATGTTCAATTTGGGTGTTTTAGGTCCCATTCTGGTGGAACTGTCAACCATCCAATATTCATGTTATTTTATTTTTTAACGCACAAGCCTGTACTGTTTAATACAATATACACAACGATCTGAATCAAATGTGCCAACAAGTGCCTGAATAATTTGAGGCGCTGTTATTTACCAATTTCATCAAATTGCCCAATTCTTCCGGGACTTGAGTCAGGTTGGATCTGTCCAATTTTAACCACTGGAGCCCAGTCATGAGTCGGACGGACTCTGGGAATTTCCCATCCTAAAATAAACCAGACAGGAAATTAATTTCGTCCCAAGTTGAATAATAAACGTAGAAAATAGACAAAATCAAATGTTCCTTACGCTAAAATCGTTCCTGCTGAAGTCGACGCCGCGAACGAACGGCAAAACCCCTGTATTTGCCATTTCTTGTATATTACATTACGGGCTTAAAGATCATAGAGACAAGAACAGAGATAAAAATATGACAATAGCAAGAACCTGTCTCTATGTAACCTCTGAGGAATGCCACTGTCTTAGTGTTTTGGGAATTGCATGAAAATGTGTAAAATGAAGAGTAAAAAAACGAAATTTTGTCCTGTGTGAGTATAAATGTGTTGGTGGATTTGGGTGAACTGTCAACATTTTTAAGATTTAAACACGTGCTGACTTTGTAGTCAAAATTGTAAATTTGTCTCTGTTGCAGTATCATCATGTCTGCGCCGGCGCTCCTTTAAATTTGAACTAATCATCAATCTTTGTGTAAATAAAATTATCAAAATAAATTTTATTCAACATTCTTTATTTTTATATTAAATCAATTTAGTACAACTAAATATTTCAATACTTCCAAAATAAAAATAAAATCCTTTGAAAACATTATTTTAAATTTATTTAAAGGTATGAATAGGGCTTCAAGCACCCTTATACAAACAAATCATAGAATTAAATTTAGATTATAAAATAAATAGTAGAAAGGTAATAAGGAAATATACAAAACAATAATGACTATAATATTATAAATTATACAATTATATTTATGAATTAAGATAATTAATTCTGGGATAACATAATCTAAGGTGCTACAAAGATAGGAGGACCATAAACGACAAAGTTATTAAATTAGCATAAATTGAATTTTATGAGTGATAAAACCTAAAACTGAAATATTAGTGGTCATAAAATGTGCTGTAAAGTTCAGGAACATCACAGGATGATTGATATTTTTTAACTTAAAGAACGAATATGTTCCTCCTTACTTACTAAATTTTTTGTTACATAATGATCATTTTTAAGAAAAATGATAACAGATATAACAGACATAACAGATGCAATACTTACGAACAGTCCAGAGTCGTGTGTGCTTACACGGGCTTATTAACTCTAAAAAAAATCCAGATGAGGGTAAGACCGACTGTTTACATATTTAGAGAGATTATGATCCAGCTGCGGATTATTTATTTTGAGCCAATAAAAACAAACAAGTCCTAGGATGTCGTCTTAATATGTTTGATTGATTACCACACCGTATTGTCAGGCTTTGTTGTTGAAGAACACTGGCCACTGAGATTCACTTGCAGTTTATCCACTTCATAAATATTCTTTAAAATATTAATTATTTATAATAGAATGATGAAACCACATTAAGAAAGAGAAAGAAGATAAAAGAAAACAGGAAAAAGAAAGGGAAGACGGAAGAAAAGGAGATGATTCATGTCAATTTAAAAAACTCAGATGCCATGGACCTGAACACAGCAAGGACGCAGAACATACTTCTCACGGAAGCAAATTCCATGGCCTTTTTTTAAAAGCAAATACTAAGGCTAAAGAATTACAAGAGGAGGAATTATTTATTTGATTTATTTTAAATATTTACATTAAAACTCCAAGTTTATAAGTGGTTAGAAAGTTAAGATTGCTGAAGATGTTAATACAGGAAGAAATATAATCTCTTGGTTTAAGATCATAGCAATATTTTATGAAGGAATGATAAGCAATTTGAAGGCAATTAGCAGATTGAGAGTCTTAGGAAAGTGAAAATAAAAGAATAAAGGAATTATTAGGGATTTAATAAAAAGAACTCTAGCATTCTATGGAGTGAAAAAGCTAAGGTGTCAATGAGAATGGATGCTAGAGTAGACATTTTTAATATTAGTGCTCACATGGTCATGCCGCGTAAGCTTAGAGTTAAAAATAATGCCAAGATTTTTAACTTTAGAACAAAAATTAATAGGGAGCTGTTGATGAGAAGGGGATAGGCTATCCATATTTTTTTAAATTAATAAGAAATGGAATTTGTTAGGATTTAAAAGAATGCTGTTATTACTTGACCATTGATTGAGAGATAAAGATCCCTGTTGAACAGAGAGACAGCTTCAATGATGTTGCTCGTAAAATGTACGTAAAGCTGAGTGTTGGGGTAAATTCAATAAAATCAATTCCACTGTAAACCTATTTATTAAGCAATTCTTTATATAATAAAAAAATAAACAAATACTGTCCTACTTATAAAGTCCAATATATTTAATTATTTAAAAAAATTAATCTTTGTTTATATACAAAATAAAATAATAAAAATATAAACGAATTCTCCTATGACCAAAACTCTGAGCTCATATAATTTTTTGAACATATAATATAAAAAAATAAATTACAGTCTTCTTGTTTTTCTTGTCTGCGCAGACTCTCCCAGCCAACTCCTCGTCCTTTCCGTTTCTCGCTCAAAACCAGACTCCCCCTCCATTCCTCCTAGAGCCTCTTCCTATTCCACTTGTCTCGCGATGTACGGTGGGACATTTCAGCAGTAGGGGTTTGGCGACAATTTGAAAGTTCACCGCCATAAAATAAGCAATTTATGAGGGGGAGAGTGTATAGGAAAAATCAAGTAGAACAATAATAGTACATTTATTATCAATGTCAAGGCAGATATGATGTGAAATTTTAGAAAGGACTTTCTCACAGCTTTGCAATTTTTAGAAGCCAGAATGAAAAAGAGAATATTTGCTTAAATAAATTTGAATGAGTTTGCTTAGATAATGAATGAAGAATATTAATAGGGTGGTAGACACAATAGCAAGGGTGGGTTTAGGTTTCTTGGGTAAGACAACTTGGATTTCCTTCCAGGCTGAAGGAAAACAGGATGGGGTGAGAGAGAGTTAAAAATGTGCGTTATGTATTTTAAGGTATAGAAAAGAGGAAAAAGATGAGTTTAATAGGAATAACATTGAAATAGCATTATATTTAATTGAAAGACAACTTCTAAAACATTATCATTGGTCATTTCTGAAAAACTAAAGGACAATTTTTGGAAATCTAGATGAGCATGAATGGAGTAATGGAGTGAATGAGAACTATTATTTTTATTTTTTTAACCAAGTTTTCTAATGTATTCATAAAATGTAAACATAAAGCATATTTTTACACCCCTATTTGTATCGTTTCTAGGCTGGAAAGGAGAAAAAATAAGTTAAACACATGTTTTGATTGAAGTTTAAAAAAAAATGTTTGAAATCAGTAAAGTTTGTTTCCCCAGGTTTGTACGTGTTTGGCAGTTTTTCTCATTATGGATCCTAGCAGGCTTGTTTTGTCATGGGCTGATAACATCGCACTTTTCTCAAAGTTACAGAGAAATGAGAATATTTCTGGATTCGAGTTTTACAACTGATTTACCGTACATTTATTTTACACTTGACATATCTCTCTTCGTCGTGGTCATGTTTGGCTTTTGTATTATATGCAAGCTGGCCTGCAACGCTAATTTGTCCAACGCTGACAACTCCAAATTATTCTGGCTATTTGTTATAATCCCTATCATCAGTATGTCTTACATTGCACTAAGCTTGCTGTGTCTTTACTACAGACATACAGACAGTGTTAAGTTTCAACAGGAGATGGTGCACGCAATGGTGAATTACCCGGATGGCAAGTTAGCAAATCATTTGGATTGGCTTCAGTTAAACTATACTTGCTGTGGCATCAACGGCTCTAGGGACTGGATTGAACTGTCCACATACCGTAATAATAAACTTATCCCAATAAGTTGCTGTGTACACCATTCTGAACTGTTGTGTACATACCATGAAAACAAAACTTTAAATTCAAAGTAGGTATAAATTCATGCAAAATTTAAAAAAGAACCTATATAAATTGCTGATTCTTTCTTTTTTTCATTTTGTTCTAGTGAAACAAATGGCCTAATGTACAGAACCAATGGCTGCTTAATTACGTTTAAAAATACTTACAGAAAAGAATATTTTAACTTATTATTACTAGGAGTCATTGCGAGTGTCTTATGTATGATTTATTCAATCGGTATTCGGCTCATTCAAACTGGTGAGAGGATTTTTCGAGCAGAAAATAAGTATAAATGTTGGATAATAGGCTGGGCCCCTGTGACGAAATTTGGGTATTTTCCTCGAAAGGATATTTTTAGTAAGTGGAGCTTCAAGGATGGTAATATTCTCTCACCAGAGCTTGAACTGTCTGATGACAATATCTATCCGCAAGTAAGTCAGTTAGAAGCGCTAAAGGCGGTGATGCAAGTCAGAGAACAATATTATAAACCGGATCTCATTCCATTTGAGAAACTTACAAAAATTTAATAAATTATCACTCTGATAAACTTATTATTTTTTTTGAATAGATCAAGTTTGGGAGAATGACACACCATGTTAACATACAATAAATCAAAACTAAATTGAATTTGTAAAATGTATTTCCATTTATCCATTTATATGCCAATGCGCTTGATTTTTAATAACTTTATGTAATAATGTATTGCTTTTAATAACTTATTTACATTTCTAAAAATGTATGTTAAATACCACAAATAAAAAATGATCTTTAAAAGATGTTGATTCCAATAAAAAGTCAGCACCACGTTGGCTGAGTGGTTAGACTTTAGAGCATCAGACTTATTTGTCATGCTAGCGGTCCTGGGTATGAATCCCTGCATAGCCCATGGATTTTTAACTGTGTACACGGAAAAAGTATTATAATGTGGGATGCGGTCTGGTGTGATGTACGTTTCAGAAAAACATTTCCTTTATCGTGCCAACGTTTCAACCTTTATTGAGATCATCTTCAGGGCCTGGGATTTACAAACATTGTTTACATATTACAATTACATTTTGGATGTGGAAAAGTGAATTTATACAATGCAAAATATATTTTATATATTCAATAAAAGTATTTCTACTCACTCAAAGTGTTTGTCTTCTGTGTAATTGTGTCAATGAGTCGTGTCGAGAGTGCCAGTGAGATTTTGCTATTTCTCGATACGACACGCAAGAATGACACAATTACACAGAAGACAAATACTTTGAGTGAGTAGAAATACTTTGATTGAATATATAAAATATATTTTGCATTGTATAAATTCACTTTTCCACATCCAAAATGTAATTGTAATATGTAAACAATGTTTGTAAATCCCAGGCCCTGAAGATGATCTCAATAAAGATCGAAACGTTGGCTCGATAAAGAAAATGTTTTTCTGAAACCTACATCACACCAGACAGCATCTCACGATTTCTAAATAAATATTGATTAATGGTCACTAATCACCACACATTATAATGTGGTTTGACCCTATGTCCATGAAACCCCAGTGGGTAATGGATGTTCACTGTAGTTTATGACAGGATTCCAATAAAATATTTTTACTGGTAATCTTTATTACTGTTAATTATTATAAATGTCTTAAAGAAATAGAACAAAATATGTTTTTTATGTTATAACAGCGCTCCATAGTGCTACAAGCGACTTCGTTGTCTTCGTTAATTTTACAGTAAGAAAGAGAAAAATAATTCGTTATTTAATTACAGTTTACACTCCAAACTGTATTCAACTTCATGATACAAATTGCAAAGCCATTGGCACTTTAAGCATCTCAAAGGATTGTTGGATAGGGTGTGGGATGAAAGGTGTTGGGTTAGGGGGTTGGGATCCAGGGCTTTTAAGGAGGTGTCTGTATTGACTTTTGTGATTTCGAGGTCAAATGAAATTTGTAGATCTGTGCGTTTGCAAAAGATTTTGGACTGGAGAGACTGTTTTGATTCTTAGGAGGTTCAGTTTAATTTTGTACGTTCAGATTGGTTGTAGTAATGATATGTAGATGAGGTGTTTATTTTACAGTGAGAGTTTCTGTCTCTTGTCAGGTAGTCTTTTGAGTAGTGTAACATCCAAGTAAGTCTTTTGTCAATGTTGAGTAATAGCAGACGACTGATTGCAGGGAGAGGAACAGAGTTGTTCTAGATTGGAGGAGAATAACACAGTGAAGGGTGAAGATTATTGCGCAGTTGAAGCCTTCTGTATTGAGAGTGATAAAAATGTCTACAATGTATACAGAATAGAGAATGGGACCAAGGATGTTTCCTTGCCAAACACCCGCTTCGGCTTAGTGGATAGGAAAGGACGTTCTCATTCCTACTTAAAAGTACCAATCAAACAGATATAATTTTTGGATGAGTTAGTAAATGGAAGGATGCCCTTGAGTTTTTAGAACAAGTCTGCAAGCACCTAAGCTTTCAAGGATGAGATATCGGTGTTTCAAGAGTTTTTGAAGGATTATGTCTGCATATATAAGGATACTGTATTGGGACTGAGAGAGTGTCTGTTGTGTATACTGGTTGGAGAATGGGACCAAGGATGTTGCCTTGCAGAACACCCACTTTAGCATAGTAGATGGGGGACAAGTTTGTTAGTACTTGAAAATGAGATAGATAAGATTTTAAGATGAGGTAATAAGTGGATGGAAGGATGGTCTTAAGTTTCCAGAGCAAGTCCGGGTTGTAACAACTAAATAAAATACATATATGTAATTTTATATTAACTCTCAGTTCCTTTGTTTTTCTTTTGAGGAATTCGCTTAATTAGAACCCAGAAACTGGATGCTTTCTTTCAAATTGAATTAATCTCAGATTTTCAATATAAAATTTCAATAGTGAAGGCTGATAATAATCATATTACATGTAATTTATACAATAAATTAGACATTCGTTTTAAACAATTGTTAAAAGATTGTAATAAAATTTTATACAGGGTGTAAATAAAGAAAAAAACATTGAAACAAACAGATTTTTATTGCAATAATATATAAACATTTATGAGTGAGTTTAAAGAGCGGGAAAGCTCTAAATTTGTATAAGGTGATAAACAACAAAAAAGTGAAGATGAACAAAGTCTTACATGTAAATTAATAACACATTTATAGTATTTTTATGTTAAATGAATATCATTTTATGACTTAAAAATTAAAAAATAGAAAAACATTTTCAACAATTTTCCTATGATAATATTACAATAATTCAACTACTTTTATTTTTAAATAACTTTGTTTTTACTTTTTCTTCATTTAAGATTCTACTGTTTAAAACAACTTTATTTCATAGTGTTTATTCTTGTTGAAGGCAAACAAGCACAGATGAAAAGTATGATTGTGATTTTGAAAAATAAAAGTAAAAATCAAATTTGCATTAGTAGTTTCACAGCCTCGACATGAAATACTTTTTTCCTAGAAAAAAATTAAATTTTTTATCATTTTCTGTATTGAAGCAGCGACAATGTTTTGACAATGCTGATGGTGAAATTTATAATAATTATCAACATAGGCAGTTTAAACAATGACAGCAAAAATTGTGAATAACAGTATGATTGTGCATTTTTTTAAATACAGTTTAAAGTATGTCAAGCACAAAACCTGTTTGATTTGCTTACGACAGTGATTATGACAAATTTTTCACCCGGTCTAGAATGACAATTTTTGTAAACAATGCACATGTAGAATTTTGTTTGTATTCTAGTTTTAATTTTTTTTATTATAATTTAAATATTTATATAACTACGCCTTAGACATCGGCAAGTCACACACTAATATTGGCATTTTTCTATTAATTCTAACAATTTTTGAACTTTTTTCTTTTAGAATTCTCTACATGGCAACAATACATTCAATAACCTTACAACTACTTAAATATATTTAAACAATACTTTGATTTTAGCTGTCTGGACAGCGATAAGCGTCATCATCTTAATAATTTACAATGTAGAACACCATCATTAACAACTATATAAGAATAGATTTTTCAATATCCCATTAAAATAAAAATAGATTTTAACAAATAAATAGTATTTATAGGTACAGTACTTGTATTCCTCTTCATAATATGTTAATTAATCTGTTAAACACACACCTTATTTACAAGACTTATTTTACCTTACAGAAACGTTTATGCTAAATATACAACTGGATTTAAATAGTGGCCACAAAACATGAACTGGAAATTTTCAGACTGATTTTCTTTTTCCTTTCTTGGCTCTGCTTGTCATAATTTTTTCGATAACGAATGCTATTTGGAATATAATGAACAGAGTTTCTTTTAAATATATAAGTAGGTATAATAATAGATAAAATATGTTTAAAAAAAGTTCTAATATAAATTTGGTATTTTTTTAAATTTAATTTTTTTTAGAAGCTTTATTTACTAAATATGTTGTACCGCCTCCTCCTATAAGTTTATATAATTAAAAGGTACAATATATTGATTTAATGGTTTTGTTTTATACTGTCAATAAACAAATTGTTAAACATTTTTGTAACAGCAGTTGCCTTTTAAAATTCAAACAAATGGATTTTTTAAAAATGTTTAAATCTTATTGAAAAAAATTAATACAATATCTAACCCAAATAAGAAATATCGTTAAAATTCAGTTCCACAAACATTTTCCATCTTTTACATTCCAGAAATGCAAACTTATATAATTGAGATTTTTTGTTTTATATTATATAATGCTAAAAATAATGATATTTTGAAATGCATCAATCTTATGTAAAAAAATGTTTAGGCACTAGATTTTCTTGGCCGTTAATTAATGCAATCTTAGTTTCTTTGTTCTGAAAGTATCAGTGATATAACAGATGTCTCTTTCTTATTCTCGTAATATATTTACAACAGGAATGGAAAATTTACTCAGTTTCTTTAGAAATATCTATAATGGTCACCTTGTTTACTAGTTTAATATTTTCTAGTTGGAATTGAAACAACACAATACATTTTTTAACTACAGCCATGCATTAATACTGAGTTTTTTTTTTAAGAGATTGACAACGTAAAAATTTGTTTGCATTTAACATTTTTCAAACATAGAAAACCCGATTTTGTAACAACAATATTCAACAACAAACAATTCGCTAAACAACGTTCACCTAAAATTGACAATTTATCAATGAATATAACTTAACTATACATTCTTCATTCAAATAAAAATCAAAAGTATAAATAGGAAAAATATTGCTTCGAACACAACTTAACTGATTAATTGAAATTTTTAGTTTGAAACTGAAAAAGTATTTTTTTTGGGTATTTTTAATTAAATAAAACTATCACATCATAGCTTCATATGAAAATACAATAGCTATCATATCTATATTAAAATTACATCAATTATCTCATTTTTGGAACATCTGAGGCTAGGCTTGAAAATATTTAACTACTCATAGATATTTGCCTACTGTGGGCTCTGACACCCATTTCTTAGCTACTACATTATTTTAATTATCAGGAATACAGTCTAAATTTATAATTATGAACTGACACCTTTTGTTTTGTTAATTTAATATTTCTGAATAAAAATATCCACTATTCATTAGAAATTCTGGACACGTTCTTATGTGAAAAGATAATTTTGTACAAAAGTGTTATTTAATCATGCTTCGGATAAGTCAATTTTCATATGCTGAAATACAAATTCAGAGGTGGCACCAACTTTTTATAAAATTTTGAATATAAATCAATTTTTAAAAAAATTTGTTACATCATTACAGTAATATAGAAAATATTTACAAAAAGCCGACCATCCCTTCATTTCAGAAAAGTTACATAATATTTATTTTGAATAAACGAAATCAACTCCGAAAATACCCTGTTGCAAGAAAAACAGTTGGTAAATATTCACATAGGCAAAATCATTTGTTAGTTTTTTAAATTTAGCAATTAATGATAATTTATATGAATATTTGTAAGAACTATTTGAAAAATTTACAGAATAAGAGACAAACTGTTTATTCAGTAAAACTAAGACATGGATGGACAACCTACTAGTCTAAATAAAACTATAATTTCAATTTTATTAAAATAAAAATGTCCAATATGTGTAGGAACAAAGTTGTTATAAAAAAAAACCCACTAAAATATGAAAAATATATGAAGATATTTATTGTAAAAAATCTATTGAGTCTTGATCTTTGGCCAAATTACATTTAAAAGCAATTGATATCAAACATGAGAGTATAGAAACAAATGTGATATTGACAATTAAAAAATTCCCCTTATAAGTCCAATAACACAAGATGGCGAAACACATTTGACAACAAACGCCTGTTAAAATTATTTTACGCTACAATCAAAATTCATATTTCAATCCTTACTCTTTTTATCAACCCAAAATAAAGACCAACGTCACAGTTTTTCGTGTTTCCTATCCTTTCCTATTGTAGCAGTAGGAAGAGGAGATAAAGGGAATGATGTCGTCCTTTTGGCAGATCTAGAAACAAAGGAAACAGCTGAAATAATCAATTTTCCCTGAAATACTTTTGAGAACCAAAAGATCCAAAATATACTGTACTAGATATAATAGTGGTTTGGTGCTTTAAAAAAACACACGTGCTTAACATTCAACATGCTTCAAATGTGAAAATAAATCCCTTTTTTATTCAACAGTTACAAGTTCCCAGTTCTAACTCTCGAAAAATTAACTTAGGGAGGTAGTTTGAGTGTAGCAGTTGTGCCTTTATTTATTGTATAAGCATCAATAAATACAAAACAAAACAAATTAGCTTGCATTAAAATATTTAAAACATATAAATAAAACAGTTAACTGGGAACACTAAACATTCGAACCTACCAACTAGAGACGCAGTTCAAATAGAAAACTTTTTTTTCCATTGTAAATTAATAAAATATAAAACAGTGTTCCCAGTGATGGAGTTGAATCACACTGAAATTACCTCAGACATGAGTTCCACTCGTTAAAAATCGCTTAGGTTTTAAAGTGACTCTGGACAAATAATTTATCTTCGAATATCTCAAACTTCAGTACGCTTTGCTACCAATCCACTTCCGCATCTGTTTTATACATGAAATGTCAAACAAAAAACCATAAATTAACCTAAGTAACAACTTTTATACAAACATACGCAAATAGTATTAAATGTTAAACACTACACTATTGATAAATTAACAATTAAAAAATGGAAATTATTTTAATAGATGAGAAAATCCCATGTCTTGTGTATCCAAATATCATACACTCAAAGACAAAAAAACCATACAATCATATTTTGTTGGTTATTTCAAACTATGTTTTTTTTTTTAATAGTTGTGTTAATTACAACATACTTATTTTAATGTAAACCAATTAAACAAGATTAGAAATTCATGATTTAATTATGATGGTTTGAAAGAAAACTCACAAAAATTCCAGAAAATTATTTGACAGATTAAAATTTATATGACAATTTATTGCCTAATTTTACTTTTGAAATGCATATGACCTCTTCTGGCCTAGCTGAAGGCCTTAAGTCACCTAAGCGAGTAAATAAACGATCAAATTTTGTCTTGTCAAACAGAATCCCATTCTTCAACTATTGAATCTGTTCAATGCTCGTTGGAGAAGGCGAACGATGTCTAACCCATCTCATTATCATGTCCCATAAGAGTTCTATAGGCCGGCTTGAGAAAGTGCAGGCCAATCCATTGTGGTAATACATTCATCTTCCAAGCAATGGGTGACAACTCAATGCGGCCAAGCATTATCGTACCATAAACGGGGCAAATGGGACCATAGCTTCCAGAAGAACTTCATCAATCTACTTTAGTCCAAAGATCCATTCTGTATGGCATGGATGTTGATTCTATCCCACACCATAACCGACTGATTTTAACAAGACTGTGACTCATGACACTTGAAGCAAAGCTTTCCCATATACGGTCCCGGCCATCTGATTGTCACAAATTCAACTGTGAAAAACATCCCTCCCTATTGTAAGTGTCCAAGTCAGATGGTGATTGGCAAACAGTCGCCTTTCTACTCGATGTCTCTCCAGTAGAAGAGAACCTGATGCAGAGCAACTAGAGACTAAGCTATTCTTCAGATGACTGTTTTAGATCTGACCCTTGCATACCATTTGGAGTTGACTATCAAAGAAGCTATTAAATGACGGTTCCGTAGTGTGGTAAGAGCAATAAAATGATCATACATTGATCAACTTTATTTTCCCTTTGATCAAGACTTCCCATGGCCCTAAACCTCCATAGACCTTTAAGGATGGAACAGCAAAACATACCCAAAACTTCGGTTGTAACGGGCGTTAGGTTTGTCATTGGCCAAAGCATCTGCCTGGGTGAAATCTTGATTTAAAACCAAGCTTTTTAAAAAAGAAAAATACTTAACTTTTTACTCAAATTTATTGTTTCATCAAAGAAAACAATTGAAAAAAAAACAAACAATTAACTCACTCGACATGTCTAGGAAAGAATGAAATTGAATTTTTTTAAATTTTTTTATTCTAAATAGTGAAAAGGATTAATAACACACAATGTAGGTAAACAACAAGTTATTAATGTTACATTTAAGTTTGAGGTCAACAAATATTAAACTTTATCCCTAATTATTTTGGAAAATACACAAATAAATACAAGATCTGTATTTGTTTTTCCTTTGAGTGTATATACATAAAAGGAACTTGTCATTAAGAATAAATGGGATGATTTAAAGTTTTACAGTAGGAATTGGATGTATATGGCTTTTAAGATGCATAAGGCCAAAACAAAAAAAAATATTATAGGAGTCAAGAAGCCCAAAATTTTCCAATTGTAATTAAAATTTATTCTTAACATTATGTTTTTTGGCAGTATTCTAAAAAAAAATAATTAAAAAGCTAAGTGTTTTCATTTTCATGTACAGTAAAACCCTTTTTAACCGAACTCGGATTAACTGAAACGATTTCAGTAAAAAATGAAATGTAAGAATAGTGGGTTATTGCAAAATGTAGTTGGTAATTATGGTGTTGGGGTATCAACAGTGGGTAAAATCTAAATGTAAACTTCATGAATACAGTTGTAATGTGCTGAACCTCAAGGAAATGAAGCAAAGTAATCATAAAAAAATTAATGAAGCTCTTTTACTCTGGTTTACTTTTCGCCTTCAGTATTCTGAACATCATATTTGTATGTAAAAAACATGGATTGTTAGATTTTAATTGGAAATTTTGTATTTTACACATTGTACCACATAACAACAGCCTCCATATCTGAAAAACTGCATCATCCGAAACGGCTTTGCCCCCTTTAATTCTGTTAAAAATAGTTCTAGTTATTAATGTTGGGCGACTTTAATTATTAAGAAAAAATCAAACTATGAAATATATCATTATTTGTGAACTGCATCATCCGAAATGGCTTTGCCCCCTTTAATTCTGTTAAAAAGAGTTCTAGTTATTAATGTTGGGCGACTTTAATTATTAAGAAAAAATCAAACTATGAAATATATCATTATTGGTGCAAATTGGGTTAATTTTGTTTTGGTTAATCAGGATAGAGAAACCCCAATATGTTGGGTTTTGAGATTTTCGTTCTAATGGTTTTTATTTTTTGGGACTTAGCAACACGGGGAATAGACCCAAGAACGCCTACATAAATTGAGTTGACAACCCCCATCAGCCTGCCAGGGTCTTGTTCTTCTCTGTAAATATCTTATCGTGTCGCAACATGCATTTTTTCTGTGCGTAGTACAATCTAGGAAGAAACCAGCGTTTGAAATTTTGATTTCTATTCATAATATCACACGGATTTTAAATTATTATTATTTTTTAAACACTATATACATAATGTATTGAACCATGCAATAAAAAATATAAACTCTGAATAATTACCGATGTAAACAGTAAACAGAAATTGTATTAATAAAACATAATAAACCAACATGGAGATTAATTGCATAGGAAAATAATTAACTACAAATACAGTAAAAAGAGTTAAATAACCTAAAGTAAAGTCATATTAGTTAAAAAAGTTATTTTTTTATACATTACTTTATGTCAAAATATTCTTTAACTGTACTAAATTAAAACAACTTTACGCTAAACAACAGAAATTTCACTTTATTAAAATGACAGATTAATGAGCATTCTAATATACAGACATGGTTAAAACAAAGAAATTAGAAAAGAGTGAATTATTTTTTATATAGGACATGGAAGTAGATAAATCAACAAAGCCAAAGTAGAAAATAAAATAAAAACATTTAAATTATTCTAGATTTAAACATTAAAAATTGACTACCATTTTTCATTAATTAATTGTTTAGTTCAATTCATAAGTTTAGAAAAGTTACCTTCTTCTTCTTATTGAAGCACTGTGACCAAATCCGGTCCGTGGTATAAGGACCATTCGGGCATTTCCTTGTGCCGGTCTTGATCCGCCGTGCGACATTAAGGATGCCAGATGGGCTGCATACCCGTCGCTCAGCACCGTTGCTTGAATGTGGTGTTTTTTTGACACTTTGCCGACAATGAAGATCTGTTGAGGTCGCAGTCCGATCGAGCTATAGACAGAAATGTCCTTGCTACTCCCATAGGCTGCATGGATAATCACTTGATGTTCCTAGTACAGAATTATCGATTATAAGATTTGCCAGACTTTATTTACAGAAATTTCATACTTGGATAAGTGATTTCAGATAAACAGCCTTGTGTCCAAGTGGGTCTGTCGAAAGACCATCGGCAAATGAAACGAGGCCATGTGGAAAGTTATGTTGTGACAACCAAGCGAGCACCTTTGCCTGTTGCATATCAGGCCTTCCAGTTATATATATTATTAAAAAGCCAAGCTCTTGCCAATGTCTAAAGAAAATTTGTTAAAATGATAAATAAAACTCTTCAAATACAAATATAATAAAAGCATAAAATTAAAATATACCTTGCAACGTCAACTGCACCTGCTCTGACTTTTGGGTCTCTTCCAGTAACAGAAACACTCGCGGTAAATGAGCCGTCAATGCTAAAAACAACACACTCAGTCTTAGGTGGCACAACTGCTAGGGAAAAGTCGACATGAGTATGATCACCCCTGAAAAAGACAAGTTTTTTAGTTAATTCACTCAAAAACTTTTTTATTTATTTAGATAATAAATCACATACCTCACAACCATTTTTACTGGATAAACACCATAGCCAAGTGCTTTATTATCAGGTATAGTGTATGTAATACGTCCAGTTTTGTCAGTGACTTCAGTACTCAAAAGCGTCCATTCTCCAGTTGTTGAATCATTCATGACATGAATGTCAACTTTCTCACCTTAAATGATTTTGGTTAATTAATTGTAATTTTGTGGATAAATTATTTACTATTACCTGCAAGTGTAATCATATCGAAGGGGCCATACATAAAACGTGCAGTCATAGACTGTTTTGCTCCTTCTTTTACTATAACATCATTTGCTCGATGATTTGAAGTAACATTCTAGAACGTAATTTTAATTTGAAAAAATTATATTTGGGTAAAAATATTTGGAATGAACCTTGAGCTTGACAGAGGTGCGTTTGCGGATCCATTTTTCTCTAGGCTGGCTTGGGTGAAATCCTGAGATGTCTTTCTCCTCAGCTCCAATCGGGCCACCGAACTCAAACCGACCGACCTGGAGGAAATAATTTATTTTTAATGATCATCTCTTTAGGTTTTTAATAATCAATTACCTGTCTCAGGATGAAAGCAATGACGTCCGAAGACTCCCAGTAGCTAGCGTGAAAGAGATGGGGCAAAGCGTTTGTTGGAAAATTGGCTAGGCCTTCAGGACAATATAAAGCGTAGTCTAATCTCTTGGTTCCCCACCATTTTTGTGTTACTGCAACAAACGAACCGATTGTTAATCAAATAAAAGGCAAGAAAAGAAGAGTGTTAGAAGCGGGAGGTATAAACTTACAAGCATTTATTGTGTGTAGAGGCAATGAATCGACCACTCCAGAAATAGTGCTCTGAATGCTGACTTCGGACAACCTCCGTAGGTGGGATATACTTGAAGGCCCACCGACTGATAAGTTATCCGTGAAGATTTGTGGGTTGCTTTGTACAATTTCCACTGTGTGAAATTATGTGTAAGTGTATTATATATTATTTTTATTCGGTATGTCCAAAACTTACAAAGATGATATGGCTGGCCATTGCCCAGAGGATACTTCTGAAACCTTGGGATGTTCACAGGGGGGATCATTGAGAACCTAGCTGAGATCAGGGGTTCCAGTCTCGCTGCTGCTGGGTCCGTCGGGTGGAATAAATTATAAACTTGCCCACAAGCAGGCCGTGGAATTGAACCTAAATTGTACAATTATTATTTTGTAATCAAGGTTTTTATAATTAAATTTATCCTTACTTGTTTTGTCATCAGTGGATATTTTCCTATAAGCCAATACAAGCGCAAGGGGACTTCCAAACATGAATAATTCACTCACTTCAAATTCCAATCGAGGCAAATGGCTATGTTCACTAAAAAATTATCAACAGAGTGTTTATTTTGTAAATAGGGGATATTGGATAAAACTAAATTACCTTGTTGATGATGATCTTCTTCTTGGAATTGGAGCGACCAAATGTTTCCCATCTACTGTCACTTCTAAATAAAGAAATATACATTTTTTTGTCTTCTCATTTCTTCCCAAAACATTATTTTAAACAACTATTGTACTATTTTAGCTAATTGTAAGCAAAAGTCTTCAAATAAATAGTAGACATTTTTCTAATCAATCATATTCTATGTTATAGAAACTATTAGGTTTTTTCTTCCTTTTTTTCCTTTATATGAGGGTATTTCAACTATGAGGTTATATGAACCCTCGGGGTGCCAGTGTTTTTGAATAAAAGCTTATTGGTACATCAGGTTTTTATGCTGGGCTGCTGGATTCGAACCCGGGATCTTCACCTTACCGTGATGAGAGCTGTGTCAACACCTTGCTTTAACTTTTATGGCCACCAACATCCCCATAGAGAAAGATATTCCACTCACAAAATGTAAAAACAATGATGATTAAAAAAAAATTTCATAAATTATTTTTAAACCTGTTCTGTAAAACAAAAAAAAGCTGTCTTTCTATGATTTTTGAAAAAGAAATTCTCATAAAATCTTTCTTCTCAATTAAATTGATATATTCCTAAAATATGATTTAAAAGTATTGCAATTGTTACAAATATATTTCAAATATATAAATTTTTACGATAGTAGAATAAATTAATAATGCTATTTCTTTTGTGACCATTATTTGTATGGTATTTCAGATACCGTGAGATGCGGTCTGGTGTGATGTATGTTTATAAACATAAAACAGCAATATCTCACTGGCACTCTCAATACGACATGCAAGAATGACACACTTACGCAGAAAACAAACACTTTGAGTGAGTAGAAATACTTTGATTGAATATAAAAAATATATTTTTTGCATTGTATAAATTCACTTTTTGCCACATCCTACATGTATTTGTTAAATTTAAACAATGTTTGTAAATCCCAGGCCCTGAAGATGATCTCAATAAAGACCGAAACATTGACACGATAAAGAAAATGTTATTCTGAAACCTACATCACACCAGACCACATCTCACGATCTCCGAATAATTATCGATTAACAGTCACCAATCACCACACATTATTTGTATATGTTATTACCTATATTTTCATTTTCTTCGTTTTCCATCTTCCCTTCCCCTGACCTGCAGAGTGCATCAAAAGCAAGAATGGAACCCATCGAATCTCCTGAAAATTTGAAATGAATCATGCCAATAAAATCACTATAACATTTTGAAATTTCAAATTTATTTTGATCAGTACCAATTAGTACAACTTGTCCACAGAAACCACTTCCTTCTTCAGATCTTATGAAATCAAGGTAAGCCGTGTTTGCTGTCTGGACCGTCTTTGTGACTGCATCGCTGTACTCCGGGGTGCAAGTCGACATTATCGGTATCGAGCCAAGGGGCACCGAGTCGTTTGTGACGTGAGTTGTATCGCAAAGGCTAGGTGAAACGTCAAAGCTATAAGGGCTCAGCCTGAAAAATTAATCAAGACTAAAATACTTATCGTTAAATGTACTATTGTAAAACATACCCTGAAAGGATACTTAAGGTATCGGTGCAAAGTGCCGGACACGATACAAGTCTTACAGCAACATGCCCAATCATATTTGCATAATGGGATCTCATGACAGCTTCTAAACCACCTCTGAATGTTGTTGAATCTGATTTCTTGGCTGTCAGTTCAATATTTGCATCTACAATGCGAATGTACATATTTTATAACTAATGAGCTAATTTTTAATTTGTAAATGACTGTTAAAAGAAGAAATCTACCTAAAACACTCCCAGCATGAAGGACGAGCATTAGGATTGTAATTGGAGATTCTCTTCCTTGATTAACAGTTGATATTGACAAGGTTGGAGATCCTGGGTAAATAGTGTCTATGCTTCTACCTCTTTCTGACATAGAAGATTTGAGGTAACGTTGTGAGAAAATGCTGTCATCTGGAAGGAAAAATATTAAAAATTTAACACATTTCTATTAAAATTTGTAAACAAAAACTTGTTTAACACTTCTCCGAGTTTCATTTCGGAGATAAATACTGTAAAAAACAGATATTCCTCAATGATCTCATATATGGGATATTAGGAAGTGGTCTAGTTTGGGTCTGGGGACTACAACCAACGTCAATTAATACTTGAGGACTTTGTTAACCATAAGTTAATAGGGGTAGCACAAAACTACCATTATTAAAACAATGAATACCTTTTGATCTACCCATTCTTATCCTCCTAGTCCTAGTCCTAGGCCTCCGCAGTGCTTAAATAAATAAAAATATCAGGGAACGCCACTAACGAAAATGTCAAAGTCAATATGTTTAAAGTTTGTAGGCTTAACAGTCAGCCAAAATTGGACTTTTGTAAATATTATGTCTACATTGGTAAAAACTGATTTTACTATCCTGGAATTTTTTGTAACATGAATTAATTAAATCAATAAAAACATTTGTTTACAAAAGAAATCAATTATACTTATAAGAAATTACTTATTTCTTTTTATAAACTTTTTCATCTTACCATGAGTCTCAACAATAACAGGAGGGGAAGAATCCAAATCTTCTTCATTTAGGACCTCCAAGGATGTCCATGTAGCTAGGGACATAGACTCTTCTGGTATATAAAAAACAAAATTAGTTTATTTGCACTTTTCAATTTTATATATACAAATATTAATAAAAACTACATAGTATCTAAAGTGCAAAACCATACCACATAATAATTTGTATACCTTGACAATCAAAAAATTCATCGTCCTCTTCACTCGGTGAATCAGAATCTCTGACAATACTTTCCATCCTCCAACTGGCAGCAGCAAGTTCAAACCTCTGTGAAGATGTAGGAGATGGTAGACTGTTCTTTGAATTGCTCCAAAGCCTTTTTCTTTCATCGCTAGCCCTAAAAATGAAAAAACAATAAAAAATAGTGCATGTATTTTATTTTATAAGAGATTTATTTAAAAAAAAAAAAATAAACCTTTGGTTCAGTTTTGGAGAAACATCAGGGCTGACTTCAGCGCGAGTCTCTGATTCAGACATAACACGATGCTTGGCTAGTGGACTGGCAGAATCACCCTCAGGTTTTTCAATACTCCCAAGATTGGCTGCAAGGGTATTGCTCCCACTGTCTCCTGCCGATATAGTCCCATCTTCTCCGCTGCTTTCGCTCCCACCTGCCATTGTCATTTTAAGCGCTTCTTGTGTCTGTCTTTCTATCTGTCTTATATCATCCATTGTAAGTCCATGCCATTCATCCTGCCACGCCCATGCTTGACGATGAGCACGTAGCATGGTTTTCCTAAGTGCTAAAAAAATTCTTGTGAGAAATTCCAACACTGATTCCATTATGATAAATCAATGTGTGTAAAAATCATCCTTACCAACGTCGTGAATAAATCTTTCCAACTTTGTTTGCATACCCCAGTATCTAAACTCCACTTTACATAATTTATATGCACACATTATAGATTTTCCATTAGGTAAAGGCATATCCTTTCCCTGTGAAATATTTTTTTTATTAACTTAATTTATTAAAACGAAAAAAACAAACTATTATTTAACAATAACTACCTTGCATTCATTCCAATAATCTTGAAGCCAGGTTTCTTGTAACGGCCCTCTGCCAGTTTTCTGAGACACGTAAACTGTTGGATCTTCTTCTCTGACATAATCTCCACCTTGGAGTTGATCTTTGACGACATCAATGACATCTTTAAAATAGTTTAAAGGAATATCAATTAGTAAAATTATAACATTCCCTTATATCGCTTTAAATTACCAACTATCCTGTTGCGAAGGTCGCTTCCAGTTAAACTGAACACATTTTCCTGGTGTCCATTGTCAGCGAAATAGTAAGTCTCGATTTCAAGTAGCAATTTCTCAACAAATGGACACGTGTATCTTGTTTTAGTGTAGGGATATGCATTCCAAGCCTCTTCTTCGACGCTAAGCGCAGACTTTGGCAGCAGGCTTTTGAGCCATCCTGAAAGTTGTTTTTTTATTCAATAAATTCAATGTTACATTGAAAGAGGCATAAAATGTACAGATGGTTTAAAATTATCTATTTAGTTTTTACCATAATACAAAATAAACCTAATACTAGAAGTTACAGATTTATTGTTAGAAAGGTTTGACAGATGAAACAAAAATCAGCCTAGTTATCTTTGAAGAAAAATAAACAAACCACAAGAATTATGAGTTATTTTTTAAAGAAGAAACATCACAATGTAATAGGTTGATTGTTACTGACAAAAATGACATATTTACCAGGTAAGTGACTGCCAACATGATATCTTTTATGTGTGTACTGGCCATTGCCCCCTGGTCCATTTGAGTAAGGTTCGTTGACTAAAATTTCTATTCCACTTCCAGCTCCTTTACTTTCTTCTCTGCTTTTTTTCTTTGAAAATAAAATAAATTAATTTATTTAGACTGAAAGTCATTAACTAAAATACTTACTGCTATCATATACAATTGGGCAATGCGATATTCTTCCACTGTAAGTGGAAGAGGAATTCTGTACTCTTTTATCAACATGGTTCAGTCCTTCGTCACAACATTTTCCTGTAATGAGTCCTAATTTGAATGACATCAATAAATCAATATCGAACTACAAGTCTTGCAGACTTTAATACAATAACTCATAAATATTAAATATTCACATAAATGTAGCATGTTTATTACAAGTGTAAGTATTTCTTAAATGCTAGTGGCTTATTTCTTTCCCGCTAAAGACACTTGATTAAATTATAAATTTGTGTCATAGTCAGATGTAAATGTAACAAGATTAGATCAGTTTAAAAGAGACCGTGAAACCCTTCAGGAGGATTTTTTCAAACAATGTCAAACAATTTAAAATGTACAATATATAATAATGTAATTGACAAATAATAATAATAAATATCATTCCTTTCTTTATTTGATACACTAGATACACTAATTGAGGCTGTCTGAGGGATCAAGACTAATAATATCAGCAACAATATTTATAAAAATATTACCTGATATTTGTCAAAGTTAGTAATTAGTTCAATTAATTAATCTTTATGTAAGGTATTGGTTGAGACAAAAAAAGTCAGTGTCACAAGCGTGATTCGAACCCATGATCTTCGGCTAAATACTCCGCTGCTCTACCACTTGAGCTATCGTTACTTCGATCCACTCGGACACCAACTCCCCATCTCAACCCACCTTTCGAATTTTCCCTCCTATTTGCCATTTTTCAAATGTCGTGTAATTTCGGCGACAAATGAATGGCCATGATTATATCTCAACCAATACCTTACATAAAGATTAATTAATTGAAAGAAGTTATTTGGTCAATCGGACCAGGAAATCTAATGGAGTTAATAATTAGATTAAATGTGGCGTTAGCTTTAAAGTGTACCTTGTTGTAGTAGAATCAGATGTTTTCTATTGTGCTATTCGTACAAACACTGGCATAAAGGCAATATGGCATCGGTGTAATATCTGCTGTTTTAATGCTCTCTTCCTGTCAAAATCTATTCATCTTTTGTTGAGGATATGAAGTCAGAAATCATTTGTAATATCAGTAGCTGGGAAAAAAAATCAATACACTATCCATCTGAAATTCACAACATTAAAATGTTTTAATTACAAATGAATAAATGCAGCGATTCAAAGTGAAAATGTAAATAAGTTAAATTGCTATTATGAAATCATAATCAGCAGTGTGAAAATTTCAAAGTTTAAAATAAATATTTGTATACGGCAGGCTAAATTATGCATATCATTGGTTGGGATTTAAATAACATCAAATTGTATGTATAATGTGTGGTGTTTAGTACCCATTAGACAATGATTATTTGGAGATCGTGAAGTGCGATCTGGTGTGACGTAGGTTTTAGAAAAACATTTTCTTTATCACGCCAATGTTTCGGTCTTTATTGACATCATCTTCAGGGCTCTCAACACGATACTCAAGAATGACACATCTACATGGAAAACAAACACTTTAAGCCCTGAAGATGATAAAGATATTATGATATCAATAAAGATCGAAACGTTGGCATGATAAAGGAAAAGTTTTTTAAAAACCTACATTACACCAGATGGCACCTCACGATCTCCAAATAAGCAATGTATGTATAATGTAACAATACTACAAAAATTATACATTAATTTTCATAAAAAAGAACTACTACTTGTACTGCCATAGGTAATGATATCCCTTATTTAAATAATTTATTGTTAAATATGTATTTATGAATAAAGTAATATGGAATAAGAATATAAGATATGAATTATTTTCAATGTTCACAACCCTAGTAATGTAAAGTAGTTCGCTTGAAAAGTGTACGTTGCTCTTCTTAAAAATTATTATGCTAATGGATTTTATTACCCACATACTAATATATAACACTAAACGTATGTTTACAGCATAATCTTGGTATACCATTTCCTCCTAATCACCCTCTCAAACCTTTTCATCCTTCTGAAGTTAAGTACTATACAGCATTCCCCAAGTAGAAAATCTTCTGGACATGACCTAATGAATTCCACTATACTTCAAAATCTTTTTTGGATCATCAAACAACAACAAAGTCCTTTTTTCCTTTTATTTTTTTAATCCTTTAATCCTTTTTTAAAGTTTCATTAGTTTTGAGTTTTCCTGATGGGAATATTCCGAATGTTTATTAAAAAAGAAAAGAAAAAAACGGATTTTGTGTCTTTGATGACCTGAAAAAAGATTATTTTTATTCCTACAAAAATAAATAAATAAAGTAACGCACCAATAAACAATGTTTTTATTATAAAAATAATGCCTCCACTAAAACCCACAGTCGATACTTGTTGACATTTATATCAAGATATGAATTTTAATTTTAAATATAACTCGACGGAGTGTCATCTTGTCAGTTTTCCATTCAACTAAATTTCCTGTTTGTTACAAAGTTTGTTTTACTTTCTTGAACACGAGAGGACAGACGGCCGCAAATGCCTTTTTCAAGGTGATTTCGTGACGTTAAAGCAGACGGACTATTACGTTTGTAAATAACGTCACGTCATTTAATTAATGCAGCCCCTATTTAAATCCGTGCAAAATCAATGGAACATTAATAATTTGAAGACGGCGTGTGCTTACTCAAAATCCTTGGGACCGTTTATGGAACCGTCGTCATTATCGCTGGTTTTTTGTTTATGGCTTAATAAATATTTAGCGTCCCCTTTATTTTGAGTTTTATCACTGTTCACACTGTTCGATTAAATATAACAATAAAATTTTAATGGTAGAAAAGTAGTTTGATTTAAAAAGGGTAATACTCGAGAAAAATAGACCCTACGTGCAAAAATTTAATTAAAAACAAAACTCGATCAACTATCATCACAAGTTCATATTTACATCGACCATTTAAAAAGTTCGATTTTCAGTCAAAATCGAAAATATTAATTTATGAAAATTAACATAAAATAGTTAAATAATTTGACGTTATTGCTTTTAAGAGAGAAGTTTAAGGCGTTACAGCTAAATCAGCAACATTTCCTAGTCTTGCAGAATGGTATACACTCGGCGCCGTGAAAACGACATTACGAGATTTCAGTTTAATCATATTAAAAATCCCTGAATAAATTATATGCTTATAAATAAAACACGATTAAATTATTTTGTCTGTGTATGTAATTTTAAAAATATAATATTATTTACTCAATGCAGTCGGTAAGTTGATTATTGGCTTTTACATTAGCCTGAAAACAATTGTATTCTAATTATAGTTTTTTCGCAAACAACTTACAAATTCACAAAAAGAAAACGCATAATAATTTAAAATAATTTAATAATAAAACTTATTATTTTAATAATATATAATTTATTATTTTTAATAAAATAATTATTGTTTACACAAAAAATTAATCACTTTAAATGTTATTTATCGACCTAATCTTCCTTGATCAGACCAAAAAAATACAGTCTTAGAAATAAACAATCATAAACCGTTAGAGCAACAATATTTGTGAATACAGCTGAAAGGAATATATTTTGCACTATTGAATCAAACAATAGGTGTTTTTTTCTGATGTGTATAATTATACAAGCAATCCAGAAAATTTTAAATTAGCCAGAAAACATTTGTATTCTAATTATAATTTTTTTACAAATTAAAGATGAGATGATGTTTTCCACGTAACTTACAAATTCACAAAAAGAAAACGCATAATAATTTAAAATGATATAATAATAATAATATAATTTNTTATAAAATAATTTTAAAATAATTATTGTTTACACAAAAAATCAATCAAATTAAATGTTATCTAATCCTAGTCTTCCTTGACCAGACCAAAAAACTCCAGACTTAAAAATAAACAATCATCAACTGTCAAAGCAACAATATTTGTGAATATAGCTGAATGGAATATATTTTGCACTACTGAATCAAACAAGTTAATGATAGTTTTTTCTTCTGATGTGTATGATTCAAAACCAAGCAATTCAGAAACTTATTGTTTTATTTTATTATGGTTTTTTAAAAATATTTTCTCGAGAGTAACCTTAACGAAGAGGCATTTGTTTCTGAATGTCCTTATTCTATGATAGTTTTGTTAACTCAAAAACCTAATTTTTAAATCAATTAACCGGTGCTGTATATGTCAGTACAGACTCCTTTGTACAGGATATAAAGTGCTTCACTTTTAATATATCATTGGACTTTAGTTGCTCTAGGCAGAGGCAATTTTAATCCTTTTTCGGCAATTTACTCTATTTAGCTTTACCAATTTAGATCTATGACTTTGATTCCAAGTTATTTTAACTAATTTAATTTACTAGATTAAGTTGTTTTCTAATTTAAGTATATTCTAAATATATTTTGCATTTTACGCTCTGTTATATGCAATACTTGGGTTTGGTTGGTATTAAATGTCACTTTATTACATTCTGCACAATTCTCAATTTTCCCAAGCTTGATTTGAAGTGAATCCTAATTGGAAATAATCTTTACCAGGGGTCAATTAAAACACTATGATTTCAGATTTTTGGGGGAAATCCAGCGGATTGAAATTTTTAGTTTTAAACCAGGTTACAAAAGAAAATAAGAAAAGTCTTAGTATGAATTTTTATCTGAAATATATACTTCAAAACTCAAAAGGCCCATGTCTGCTTTGTCAGTTCAATGATTTTTAATTGCGTAAAAAAAAAGAATTTCCCTTTGATGTTTAAAATAAAATAATTTGACTAATTTTTCAGGGTACAAAACTCGTCATATTTTCGAATAACTCGTTCCATTAAGCAAAACACACAAAAAGAAAGGAAAGAAAGTTATTTATCGTCCCAATCCCCCTTGATCAGCCCATCAAGCATAGTTCTTAAATTGAGCATTAATTCATTTCGTTTTACCCAGAGAGGAAGGAATGCCCGGATGCCGATAAATCAACATAATTAACTTGTCATCCGAGCGCGATGAGTTACAAGCGGGAGCTTAAAAATGAAAACCATGCTTAGGACGCAAAATTAACTAAACACGACAGTATTAATTACAAGGAAAACTACTACAAGGAATTTATGCTAAAATCGATTTTTTAAAAATATACATAAATACATTACCTGTTATATTTATGAAATTGGGCTAAAACCATATAGTTTTATAATGTAAACTTAGTTTAATGCTTCTAACTTTACTTTAAAAAATAATTAAAACAACTTTATATAAAACAATATGCCTAATAAATTCTCTAAAAAAACTACTCATTTTTAAGGTAATTAACAAGTAAGTAAAAAGATAAACAGAGTTTATGTTATACGTAAAAACTTAAAGCTGGAAATTCAGATGAAATGAGTTAAAACTTAGTTTTCTGTAAAAATTTAAACTAATATTTTTATTTCTGCGAGTTTTCAGATTGCTACAGTAGATCTTTATTTTAGTTGCTAATTTTTCTAATAATTATAAAAACTATTATTTGTTCATATTGGTGGGTTTAATAGTGTCGTTTAATCACCAGACAATTCAAAAAAGGAAAGCAAAACAAGGAAATAAATTCGTAAATAAGAATATAAAAAGCTACCAAACAATAGAGATTAAAGTTAAACCTAACAAAATCAATACAAAACACAGCATTGACAAAATGTTCAACAGTATAAACATGTCGGAAGGGAAATTAATTATAAAAAAAATCATTTAACTGTTTTATAAGTTCTTCGAAAAGTCAATAATGCAAACATCCTCTGCAGGAAACATAGCGCTAAAGATACAATTATACTAATAGGTTTTACTTATTTTCCTTTTGTTCTCCCTTCGAAAGGGTGAAGTCAACTTATGGACTACTCGGCGATAATTTGGTATATCTAGCGAAGTAGCCAACATTAACTGCCCTGTATTGTAGATTAAGGCAGATTACATTATTTGTACTTGATATTTATTAATAAAGGATTGTGGAACTACTTGCACTTACTCATACCTTACTGGCATAAAAAAATATCAAAAATGTTTGCATTTGTAGTCCTTTGATTGTATTACTATTCTCAAATGTATTTGCTATTATAAATATTTTAAATATTATAAATAGTACCAAAAATAGTGAGATCCTATTGTTACAAACAATCGGTAATTCTTTTATATTTATATTATT